TGTGAGGGAGAGTAAGTGTTACGAGGCAGGGGACTCTGATGTTGTCCAGTTTTCCGTGCTCGTTTTCCTGCCCTTGCCGGCTGCTGACTGCTTCCTGCCTTTGTGGTTCTTTCTCCTACCGTGGTTGCTGTCTTTGTGGAGCGGTACAGTGAAAAATTTGCTTTTTTTTTTTTTTGTCTTTTTTCTACCTCCCTATGCGCGTTCTCACAGCACTGCAGGCAGGTGAGCGCTTGGAGCTGTGCCCACCACTCCCTTCCTTTGCTGTGCGCTGCAGTGGGTCTGTAGCTCATGGGTCTGCCTCACCTCATTTTAATTTAATTTAATTTTATTTATTTTATTTATTTATTTTATATTTTCATTTATTATTCTTTTCATCAGGATTTGGGGTGATTTCCACCACCTGCCTCAGGCTCCGATGTCACTGTTGCGGGTTAAATCTGGGAGGTTTTGGGTCTCGTGGTGGTTTGAGCCGGAACCCCCAGTCTCAGCTGAAAGTTGCTGGTTTTAGGGTTACTAAAAGCGCGTTAAATAGTTTTACTGAGCTGGTGTTGAGCTGAAATCTTTGTTTTTTCCCCCAAACCCATGCTGACTTTCCACCCTAATTAAACTCCCAAATTTCAGCAGAATCCTCTTGAATACTTCTTTTACACTTCCTTTGCCACCCAGCAGCTCTCGCAAGAGAGACTGAGGAGCATCAGGGCGTGTAAGCAGGAGGTCGGGTGGTGGAGTAGCTCCCTGGTGTCCCAGAGGGAAGGGAGCCGTGGGAACAAAGAAAAGCTTCAAGGCCTTGGGACGGTTGGTGAAAGAGGCTTTTTGTCGGAGTGACTGTGTGGCTTTTTGTTGGAGTGGCCTAGATGATCTTCCAAGGTTCCTTCCATTCCCTGACGTTCCGTGGAGGTCCAACCGTCCCCCTACCACCAGCGGCACCCCCAGGGTGTGGGGAGGGCCTGGCCTCTCTCAGCCCTGCTGCCAGGGGTCTGCACGGTGCCGGGACCCCTCACTTCCCCCCCCTTCTTTTCGTTGCAGGTCTTCTTACCAAGTGCAAGGCTAGAAGAGTTGCGGCCTGGAAGCTATACGTGTTCGGCATCATCAGTCTAATAGAGTTCCTGGTTTTGATTTCCATTATCATCTGTGAGTGTTCCCAAGTGGTTTCGGGGCTCTGCCCTGCGGCCCCAGCTGCAGGCAGGGGGAAAAAAAAAAAGGGGGCTCGGTGCCTGTATCCAACCCTGCTGCTGCCCCTTCTTTGCTCCTGCAAACCCCTGGATTTCTTTGTCCTTAGGGCTCTCTCAACGTGCGTATTCCTGCCCCCATTCGTGGATCGGGTTCGAGGGGAAATGTTTCTACTTCTCCGACGGGGAACAAAGAACCAACCTTGAGCCGGGCTGACTGCCACGTGCACGGCGCCAACCTGGCCGTGATCCAGTCCAGGGAGGAGCTGGTGAGGCTGGGGCTTTTCTCCTTTTTTATTTTGGGTGGGGGGCAGAGCTCTGGGGGTGTTGGTGAGCCCCCTTTTCAACCCTGCTCCCCCTCTGCTCCCAGGAGTTCATGATGCGCTATAAAGGTTCTCACGACCACTGGATCGGGCTGAGCCGCCAGAACCCGAGGCAGCGCTGGGAATGGGACGATGGCACCGAATTTGACAGCTCATTGTGAGTCCGCCCTGCCCTGCACGTGGGTTTTTGGGGTGAGGGGGCAGAAAGCATGCAGGATGCTCACCCCACTGCCTCTCCCTGCAGGTTTCCCATCGGAGGAGGCGAGGATTTTGCTTTCTTGAACAACCAAAGAGTCACGCAGCGCGCGCAGCAGCGGCGAGCGGCACTGGATCTGCACCAGGCAGCCCTGAGGCCGGCAGACAGGGCGCCTCCAGGTCTCGTGCAGAGAATACCGCACACCTTGGTGCCCTGTCAGATATTTTGGGGAACTGACAAGACCAGGGTTCATTCCTCAGGCCTGCAGGTGGTGTTTTGTCACAGCTGCTGCTCCTGGAGCTTTTTCAGGTTTTCTGTCTGCTACTACGCAGTTCCCTTGCTTCTGCAAAACGTTTTTGTCATCTCAAACTCTTGTGCACTACATTTTTGCTTCGTCTTTATCAGTGCATAGCATTAAGGTAGGAGACACAAGGTTGTATTAGGAAAAGTAGTAATGTAGCGTGTCGTGTTAACTGGCAAGAGATACTCCATTTCCTTTTTAACTCTTCAAACCCTTTTCTAAGGGCACTTGCACTTTTTTAGCAGAGGAGGAGGAGCATTTTAAAATACAGTGTTTTGTCAAAGAGATATCAGTATTGTGCCTAGGCAGAAACTGTCACAGGATGGGAATATCTCAGACCGCGTCCTGGAAATGGTTTGGACTGGAAGAAGGCTTCAAGATGGTCCTGTTCCAACCTCACTGCCCTGGGCTGAAGTCCCTGAGCTGCTGCAGGGGGTGGAAATCAGCTGTAACCCATCACCCCTGCTGGTGCTATCCTGAGAAATGTGAACAGCAGGTGTGTGGCTGTGGCAGGGAACAACTTCCCACATTTGCCATTCCTCCTGTACTTGAAGAAACTCTTCACGGGCTCCCAGGCTGGATGGCAGTAGCAGTTCAGTCAGGTCTCCGTTAATGTGAACTGGTGCCCGTGGAGAGAAATGGTGCCTTTCTCTTGCTTTTCTGCTCCTCTGTATCTTTGTATTATATCAACACTATTTTTCTACGTACTGTTTTAATATATGTGCAATTTTTTAATAAATTTTTTTTACTGTCTGGCTCTTTTATTGTTTCCTCTTGTGTTACCCTGAGATCCAGCACGAGGTGAGTTTTACCCACTGCTTTCTGCTCCTCCATGAAAACTCTCTCATTATAAGACCAGAGCTCCATCCACATCTCCTGAAAATATTAAGGATTTCCTAAGAAAGCCCAGGAAACTTCACTGCAGGTCCCCCAAATCTTGCTTTTAGGACAGCACCTTTGAGAAACAGCAGATCATCTTTGCCAAAAAATAAGAAATTCTCTGCTTTTGGATCCTGGAAGAGCTCAGCAATTCTAAATGATGCTTCAGGGTGGGGTGCGGAAGGGTTTTGTGTAGGAAGCCCTCGTTCTTTGCTGACCTAAGCCAGACTTTGTGACATTTAGGTGTGTGAATTCTGGAGAAAAGACTAACAGCAGGAACTGGCATCTTGGTGAAGTGGTTTCTGCTATATTTCAGGTTGGTGAATTGAATTTGTTAACCAAAAGTGCATTTTTATTGCGTGGAAGTGCCCTGCCTGGGACTGATGGAGGAAAACCGATAAGTCTTAAATTTATGTGCTTAGTTAAAGGCAATGCGCCAAGCCCACCGCTGCAAAATTCTCCCAGTTTGGGTTGCAAGAGCAAGTTAAAGCTAAATTATCTGCGTTTGAGGAAAAAAGACTTAATAACAGCAGTTGGAGCGTGCGCGTAGCAGGAGAGGCAATCAGGCCGTAGGTCTCAGTGAGCAAAATAAGGAAAGAGAGAACAGAAAACCCCAGATTAAGGCTGGCTCTGTCTTTGAGAAGCAATTACGTCGGTACTCGTTACCGAACACGTCGCTCACCGGTTCTGCCAGCCCCTCATCTTGTGAAACTCTTGCAAACAGCTCAAAGGGCATCAAAAGCCCTCAAAATGCAGGATCGAGTCAAGCCATACAAGGCTAAAAGGTCGCGTTATTCACGAGGTGTTTTTACGAGGAGGCTCTTCCACGGATTTGCTTCTACATCTCCAGTCCTGGAGGTGGCACTGGTGGACTTGATTTGGAGCTGGCTGCTTGCTGGGAGGAGCGAGCTCCTGAAGCTCCCGGAGTGCGTTTCTCGTGCTGTTGTTTTCCAAAGGGAACCAAAAATAAGAGCGCTGCTACAAACCCTACGATCCTCACCGTCACACCTTCACCAACCGTCTCCGAGCTGAGGTGCTCCTCAAAAAAACGTCTTCCCAGGATGGAGTTAGCCGTGCAAATGTCCCGTGTTTCACCTGCATACCCTAAAAGCAAAAAGATCCCCAAAGCAAAATGATTCCCAAAGCAAAAGATTCCAGGAAATCCTTGGAAGTCCATCCTTGCACCGTTTCCATATGCTCACAAGGAACTGGAAGGCTTTTCCCAGCCGAGCAAGCTTGAAAACTGCTGATTTAACTTGCCAAAAATTGGGAAAAACTCGAATCCCATGCCATTTGACCTTTTTTTTTCCCCCCATACAAGCTGCATCTTGATGTCTCCTTAGGGTGAATCCTCTGCACGCTCAGGCATGGTTTGATTGGCAGCTTTGTGACCTCTGGTGCTCTAATATTTCATTTTATCGTGAAATGAGTCGTGAATGAGTCATTGCCATGTATGACCCTGCTGCCCTGAGAAATTATCAGCTGTTGGGTTGCACTTCAAGTAGTAACTTCAGTTCCTATCCTGCAGTTTTCAGCTGAATTCCCCTCCTGAGTTTCCTTCAAAGTTTCTGAGCTTTTGTCTCGTCTGGATCTGCACCAGGCAGCCCTGAGGCCGGCAGACAGGGCACCTCCAGGTCTCGTGCAGAAAATACCTCACACCTTGGTGCCCTGGCGGATATTTTGGGGAACTGACAAGACCAGGGTTCATTCCTCAGGCCTGCAGGAGGCATTTTGTCATAGCTGCTGCTTCTGGAGCCTTTTCAGGTTTTCTGCCTGCCACTACGCAGTTCCCTTGGTTCTGCAAAACGTTTTTGTCATCTCAAACTCTTCTGCACTACATTTTTGCTTCGTCTTTATCAGTGCATAGCATTAAGGTAGATAGTAGAGGCAAGGTTTGATTAGGAAACATAGCAACATAGGGTGTAATGTAACTGACAACAGATACTCCATTTCCTTTTTAGCTCTTCAAACCCTTTTCTAAGGGCACTTGCACTTTTTTAGCAGAGGAGGAGGAGGTGTACTGGGGGGGTAATACGTTTGGGTTGGGATTTAATGGAAAAAAAATGGGGAAAAAAAAAAAAAGTCCCTAAAATGCCTTTCACAAAATGGCGGCCGAGACCTCCCCTCACAGCTGCCTCAGAGGAGGCGGGTTTTGTTCCGGCCGCTGATTGGCTGGCTGCCTCCGTTGTCCCGCCCTTGCCGGCTGCTGATTGGCTGCCGGCTGATTAGTTGTACGTGGCAGCGACATTTTCTATTGTGCCCTGGTTGCTGTGGTTGTGTTGCGGGACGGGGAAAATTTCGCTGTTTTTGGCCATTTTTTGCCTTTTTTTTTAGCCTTTTTTCTACCTTCTTACACGCGTTCTCGCCGCGCCGCACGTGGGTGAGCTGCTTTCAGCGCTCCCTTCCTCTGCTCTGCGGCGTGATGGAGGCAGCGGGACCAGCGGGACCTCCGCGGGGCCGGGGTCGCGGCAGGGCCCGGTGGCACACGGTGAGTTCGGGTTCGGGGGGAGCTTTGCTGGGGGGGTCCACGTTTTGTGCGGCCCTTTGATGGGCTCTTGTAAGGAGCGGGGCTGGGAGGAGCCCCCGCTTAGCCCCGCTGCCCCTGCGTTTGTTCGGAAGTTTTTTCCCCGTATGTAAGTGGATGCCGGGCTGCGTCTGTGGCTGTGCCCTACAAGCTGGCGGGCAGCGTTTTGGAGTTAGGGCTGCGATTATGGTTGGTCGTTGGGATTAGGGCTGGGGTTGGGAGTGGGTTTGGGGCGGCGGGGTGGTGGCGCGGCCGCCGGGCGGTGGAGCCGGTTCCTGGTGCGGCCGCGGGGCGGTGGCGCCGGACTCCGGCGCGGCCGCGGGGTGGCGGGGCCCCTTTGGGGTAGCTGAAATTGGGATTATTGATGAGATTGGGATCGAGATTGATACCGGGATCGGGGTGCTGGAGGCGGCCAAGCCCTCCCCTGTTTCCCAGGCTGCTGCCGGTTTTCTCCCAGCTTCTTACCGTTACCTTCTCACCGCGGCGTCATCTCCCTACATGTTTCTGTCGTCACTTTTCTGCCTTTTCTAACTTTCTCCCTTCTTTCCAGGTATTTCCTCCTCTGCAGCACCCCTTGTTGCCTGCCCCTGGCTCCTGCATTCCCAGCCACAAGCTGCCCTCAGAGGACATTTGGAGATTTTGGCCTGGGGAGGCTCCTGAGATATCGTTGTGGCGCTGCCTGTGGAGGAGAAGAGGAATGAGGACAACGATTCTGTGAGGGATTGTAAGTGCTCTGAGGCAGGTGTGCCCGTTGTGCTGCCCTTGCTGGCTGCTGATTGCCACCCACCTGCGAGGTTCTTTCTTCTACCATGGTTGCTGTCGTTATGGAGAGGGACAAGGAAAAATTGGCTTTTTTTTGTCATTTTTGGCTTTTTTCTACTGTCCTACACGCGTTCTTGCAGCACTGCAGGCGGGTGAGCGCTTGGAGCTGCTTTCAGCGCTCCCTTCCTCTAATCTGCGCCGTGACGGGTCTGTAGCTGACGGGACTGCCTCACCTCATTTTATTTTTATTTATTTTTATGCATGTTTATTTTTTCTTCAGGGTTTGGGATGATTTCCACTGCCCGTAGGCACATGTCTGCCTCTCCTCATTTCATTAACTATTTTATTTTTTCCACCACTTGTGGCTCGTGAGTCTCCCTCACCTCATTGTAGTAGTAGTAGTATTTCTTGAGGAATTGGGGTGATTTCCACTGCCTGTAGCTCGTGGATCTGCTAGTTCTTATTTTATTTTTTAATATTATTTTTACTTTTATTTTTTTACTTCTATTTTTATGTGTATTTTACTTTTTACGTCATTTTATTTTTTCTTGTGGATTTGGGGTGATCTCCCCTCACAGCTGCCTCAGAGGTGGCGGGTTTCGTTCCGGCCGCTGATTGGCTCGTGCCTCCGTTGTCCTGCTCTTGCTGGCTGCTGATTGGCTCCTGCTGCGAGGTTCTCCCTCCTCCCCGGTTGCTGTCGTTGTGTTGCGAGACAAGGAAAAATTGGCTTTTTTTGGCCACTTTTTTCCTTTTTTTGGCCTTTTTTCTACCTTCTTACGCGCGTTTTCGCAGTGCTGCACACGGGTGAGCTGCTTTCAGCGCTCCCTTCCTCTGCTCTGCGCCGCGATTAAGGCAGTGGGGCCGGGGTCGCGGCAGGGGCCGGGGGCACACGGTGAGTTCGGGTTCAGGGGGAGCGTTGCTGTGGGGGGTCCACATTTTGTGTGGCCCTTTGAAGGGCTCTTGCAAGGGACGTGACGTATTGGGGGGAGGGCCCCGCTCACCCCGCCCACTTGCGCATGGTCTGTATTGGAAGCTGAAGCCGCGCGGTGTCTGTGGCTGCGGCCTACAACCTGGTGGGCAGCGTTTTGGGATTGGGGCTGCGATTAAGGTTGGCATTGGGATTAGGGCTGGGGCCGGGGCTGGGGTTTGGGCCGTGAATGGGCTCGGGGTGGGGGCTGCTCCGTCCAGCCTCGTCCCCGGCACGGCCAGGGGGTTGCCGGGCCCGCGGCCTGGTGGGAGCCGGGAGCTGCGTCTGTGGCTGCGACCTACAACCTGGTGGGCAGCGTTTTGGGATTGTGGCTGCGATTAAGGTTAGTCATTGGGATTAGGGCTGGGGTCGAGAATGGGTTTGGGATGGAATTAGGGCTGCGGTTGGGGTTTGGGCCGGGGGCCGGGGTGCGCAGGCGCGGCGGTGGGCAGGGCACGGGCGCGGCAGCGGCCGGCGGGCGGTGCCGGGCCCCTTTGGGGTAGCTGAAATTGGGATTATTGATGAGATTGGGATCGAGATTGATACCGGGATCGGGGTGTTGGAGGCGGCCAAGCCCTCCCCTGTTTCCCAGGCTGCTGCCGGTTTTCTCCTAGCTTCTTACTGTTACGTTCTCACCGCGGCGTCATTTCCCCACATGTTTTTATTGTCATTTTTCTGTCTCTTCTGACTTTCTCCATTCCTTCCAGGTCCTTCCTCCTCTGCAGCACCCCTTGTTGCCTGCCCCTGGCTGCTGCATTCCCAGCCACAAGCTGCCCTCAGAGGACATTTGGAGATTTTGGCCTGGGGAGGCTCCTGAGATATTGTTGTGGCGCTGCCTGTGGAGGAGAAGAGGACTGAGGACAAGGATTCTGTGAGGGAGAGTAAGTGCTCTGAGGCAGGCGTGCCTGTTGTTGTCCAATTATCCGTGCTCATTTTCCTGCCCTTGCCGGCTGCTGATTGCCACCCGACTTTGAGGTTCTTCCTCCTACCGTGGTTGCTGTCGTTATGGAGAGGGACAAGGAAAAATTGGCTTTTTTTGTCATTTTTGGCTTTTTTCTACTGCCCTACACGCGTTCTCGCAGCACTGCAGGCGGGTGAGCGCTTGGAGCTGCTTTCAGCGTTCCCTTCCTCTAATCTGCGCCGTGACAGGTCTGTAGCTGATGGGACTCCCTCACCTCATTTTATTTTTATTTATTTTTATGCATGTTTATTTTTTCTTCAGGGTTTGGGATGATTTCCACTGCCCGTAGGCACATGTCTGCCTCTCCTGATTTCATTAACTATTTTATTTTTTCCACCACTTGTGGCTCGTGAGTCTCCCTCACCTCATTGTAGTAGTAGTAGTATTTCTTGAGGATTTGGGGGGATTTCCACTGCCTGTAGCTCGTGGGTCTGCTAGATCTTATTTTATTTCTTATTATTATTTTTACTTTTATTTTTTTACTTCTATTTTTATATGTATTTTACTTTTTACGTCATTTTATTTTTTCTTGTGGATTTGGGGTGATCTCCCCTCACAGCTGCCTCAGAGGTGGCGGGTTTCGTTCCGGCCGCTGATTGGCTCGTGCCTCCGTTGTCCTGCTCTTGCTGGCTGCTGATTGGCTCCTGCTGCGAGGTTCTCCCTCCTCCCCGGTTGCTGTCGTTGTGTTGCGAGACAAGGAAAAATTGGCTTTTTTTGGCCACTTTTTTCCTTTTTTTGGCCTTTTTTCTACCTTCTTACGCGCGTTTTCGCAGTGCTGCACACGGGTGAGCTGCTTTCAGCGCTCCCTTCCTCTGCTCTGCGCCGCGATTAAGGCAGTGGGGCCGGGGTCGCGGCAGGGGCCGGGGGCACACGGTGAGTTCGGGTTCAGGGGGAGAGCGTTGCTGTGGGGGGTCCACATTTTGTGTGGCCCTTTGAAGGGCTCTTGCAAGGGACGTGACGTATTGGGGGGAGGGCCATGCTCGCTCCGCTCACCCCGCCCACTTGCGCATGGAAGCTGAAGCCGGGAGCTGTGTCTGTGGCTGCGGCCTACAACCTGGTGGGCAGCGTTTTGGGATTGGGGCTGCGATTAAGGTTGGCATTGGGATTAGGGCTGGGGCCGGGGCTGGGGTTTGGGCCGTGAATGGGCTCGGGGTGGGGGCTGCTCCGTCCAGCCTCGTCCCCGGCACGGCCGGGGGGTTGCCGGGCCCGCGGCCCGGGGGGGAGCCGGGAGCTGCGTCTGTGGCTGCGCCCTACAACCTGGTGGGCAGCGTTTTGGGCTTACGGCTGTGATAAAGGTTGGTCATTGGGATTAGGGCTGGGGTCGGGAACGGGTTTGGGATAGAATTAGGGCTGCGGTTGGGGTTTGGGCCGTGAATGGGCTCGGGGTGGGGCCGGAGGCCCGGTGCGCGACGGCGACGGCCGGGGGGCGGTGCCGGGCCCCTTTGGGGTAGCTGAAATTGGGATTATTGATGAGATTGGGATCGAGATTGATACCGGGATCGGGGTGCTGGAGGCGGCCAAGCCCTCCCTTGTTTCCCAGGCTGCTTCCAGCTTTCTCCCAGCTTCTTACTGTTACCTTCTCACCGCAGCGTCACCTTCCCACATGTTTCTGTTGTCATTTTTCTGTCTTTTCTGACTTTCTCCCTTCCTTCCAGGTCCTTCCTCCTCTGCAGCACCCCTTGTTGCCTGCCCCTGGCTGCTGCTTTCCCAGCCACAAGCTGCCCTCAGAGGACCTGTGGAGATTTTGGCCTGGGGAGGCTCCTGAGATATGGCTGCGGCGCTGCCTGTGGAGGAGCACAACAATGAGGATAACGATTCTGTGACGGAGAGTACCCGCTCTGAGGCAGGCGTGAAGCAGTGGGTTTTGGGTAAGGATCCTTCCCTGTTTGGAGGGCGACAGATCTGTGGGGAGTCAGAGAGCCACCGAGGCTGGAAAAGGCCTCCGAGGTGGAGGTCAGTAGTCGAGGTTGGGGCCTTGGAGCTGCTGCAGCTGCAGCACCCGGTCACAAGTTAAAGGAGGATTTTGGCACTTCCTTTGCCACCCAGCAGCTCTCGCAAGAGAGACTGAGGAGCATCAGGGCGTGTAAGCAGGAGGTCGGGTGGTGGAGTAGCTCCTTCGTGTCCCAGAGGGAAGGGAGCCGTGGGAACGAAGAAAAGCTTCAAGGCCTTGGGATGGTTGGTAAAAGAGGCTTTTTGGGCGGAGTGTGTGGCTTTTTGTTGGAGTGGCCTAGAGGATCTTCCAAGGTTCCTTCCATTCCCTGACATTCCGTGGAGGTCCAAACGTCCCCTACCACCAGCGGCACCCCCAGGGTGTGGGGAGGGCCTGGCCTCTCTCAGCCCTGCTGCCAGGGGTCTGCACGGCACTGGGACCCCTCACTTCCCCCCCTTCTTCTTGTTGCAGGTCTTCTTACCAAGTGCAAGGCTAGAAGAGTTGCGGCCTGGAAGCTATACGTGTTCGTCGCCATCAGTCTAATAGAGTTCCTGGTTTTGATTTCCATTATCAGTGTGCGCTCCCAGGTGGTTTCGGGGCTCATCCCTGCAGCCCCAGCTGCAGGTAGGGGGGAAAAAAAAAGGGGGCTCGGTGCCTGTATCCAACCCTGCTGCTGCCCCTTCTTTGCTCCTGCAAACCTCTGGATTTCTTTGTCCTTAGGGCTCTCTCAACGTGCGTGTTCCTGCCCCCCTTCGTGGATCGGGTTCAAGGGGAAATGTTTCTACTTCTCCGACGGGGAAAAGAACCAAACCTTGAGCCGGGCTGACTGCCACGCGCGCAACGCCAGCCTGGCCGTGATCCAGTCCAGGGAGGAGCTGGTGAGCCTTTTTTTTGTTTTGGGTGGGGGGCAGAGCTCTGGGGGTGTTGGTGAGCCCCCTTTTCAACCCTGCTCCCCCTCTGCTCCCAGGACTTCATGATGCGCTATAAAGGTTCTCACGACCACTGGATCGGGCTGAGCCGCCAGAACCCGAGGCAGCGCTGGGAATGGGACGATGGCACCGAATTTAACAGCTCATTGTGAGTCCGCCGTGCCCTACACATGGGTTTTTGGGGTGAGGGGGCAGGAAGCATGCAGGATGCTCACCCCACTGCCTCCCCTGCAGGTTTCCCATCGGAGGAGGCGAGGATTTTGCTTTCTTGAACAACCAAAGAGTCACCAGCGCGCGCAGCAGCGGCGAGCGGCACTGGATCTGCACCAGGCAGCCCTGAGGCCGGCAGACAGGGCGCCTCCAGGTCTCGTGCAGAGAATACCGCACACCTTGGTGCCCTGTCAGATATTTTGGGGAACTGACAAGACCAGGGTTCATTCCTCAGGCCTGCAGGTGGTGTTTTGTCATAGCTGCTGCTCCTGGAGCTTTTTCAGGTTTTCTGTCTGCTACTATGCAGTTCCCTTGCTTCTGCAAAACGTTTTTGTCATCTCAAACTCTTGTGCACTACATTTTTGCTTCGTCTTTATCAGTGCATAGCATTAGGGTGGCAGACGCAAGGTTGTATTAGGAAAAGTAGCAACGTAGCATGTCGTGTAACTGACAACATATACTCCATTTCCTTTTTAACTCTTCAAACCCTTTTCTAAGGGCACTTGCACTTTTTTAGCAGAGGAGGAGGAGCATTTTAAATTACAGTGTTTTTCCAAAGAGGTATCAGTATTGTGCCCAGGCAGAAACTATCACAGAATGGATGGGAATATCTCAAAAAATGGTTTGGGCTGGAAGAAGGCTTCAAGATGGTCCTGTTCCAACCTCACTGCCCTGGGCTGAAGTCCCTGAGCTGCTGCAGGGGGTGGAAATCAGCTGTAACCCATCACCCCTGCTGGTGCTATCCTGAGAAATGTGAACAGCAGGTGTGTGGCTGTGGCAGGGAACAACTTCCCACAGTTACAATTCCTCCTGTACTCGAAGAAACTCTTCACGGGCTCCCAGGCTGGATGGCAGTAGCAGTTGAGTCAGGTATCCGTTAATGTGAACTGGTGCCCGTGGAGAGAAATGGTGCCTTTCTCTTGCTTTTCTGCTCCTCTGTATCTTTGTATTATATCAACACTATTTTTCTATGTGCTGTTTTAATATATGTGCAATTTCTCAATAAAATATTTTTCCTAAGTCTGGTTCTTTTATTGTTTCGTCTTGCGTTACCCTGAGATCCAGCACGAGGTGAGTTTTACCCCACTGCTTTCTGCTCCTCCATGAAAACTCTCTCATTATAAGACCAGAGCTCCATCCTGTGCCACATCTCCTGAAAATACTAAGGATTTCCTAAGAAAGCCCAGGAAACTTCACTGCGGGTCACCCAAATCTTGCTTTTAGGACAGCACCTTCGAGAAACAGCAGATCATCTTTGCCAAAAAATAAGAAATTCTCTGCTTTTGGATCCTGGAAGAGCTCAGCAATTCTAAATGATGCTTCAGGGTGGGGTGCGGAAGGGTTTTGTGTAGGAAGCCCTCGTTCTTTGCTGACCTAAGCCAGACTTTGTGACATTTAGGTGTGTGAAGTCTGGAGAAAAGGCTAACAGCAGGAACTGGCATCTTGGTGAAGTGGTTTCTGCTATATTTCAGGTTGGTGAATTGAATTAGTTAACCAAAAGTGCATTTTTATTGCATGGAAGTGCCCTGCCTCTGCCTGATGGAGGAAAACCAACAATACTTGAATTTATGTGCATAGCTAAAGGCAATGCGGCAAGTCCACTGCTGCAAAATTCTCCCAGTTTGGGTTGCTAGAGCAAGTTAAAGCTAAAGTAACTGCGTTTGAGGAAAAAAGACTTAATGACAACAGTTGGAGCGTGCGCGTAGCAGGAGAGGCAAGCAGGCCGTAGGTCTCAGTGTGCAAAATAAGGAAAGAGAGAACAGAAAACCCCAGATTAAGGCTGGCTCTGTCTTTGAGAAGTAATTACAACGTCGGTACTCGTTACCGAACACGTCGCTCACCGGTTCTGCCAGCCCCTCATCTTGTGAAACTCTTGCAAAAAGCTCAAAGGGCATCAAAAGCCCTCAAAATGCAGGATCGAGTCAAGCCAGACAAGGCTGAAAGGTCGCGTTATTTACGAGGTGTTTAGAGGAGGCTCTTCCACGGGATTTGCTTCTACATCTCCGGTCCTGGAGGTGGCACTGGTGGACTTGATTTGGAGCTTGCTGGGAGGAGCCAGCTCTTGAAGCTCCCGGAGTCCGTTTCTCATGCTGTTGTTTTCCATACGGAACCAAAAATAAGAGCGCTGCTACAAACTCTACGATCCTCACCGTCACACCTTCGCCAACCGTCTCCGAGCTGAGGTGCTCCTCAAAAAAACATCTTCCCAGGATGGAGTTAGCCATGCAAATGTCCCGTGTTTCACCTGCAGGAGACCCTAAAAGCAAAAAGATCCCCAAAGCAAAAAGATTCCCAAAGCAAAAGATTCCAGGAAATCCTTGGAAGTCCATCCTTGCACCGTTTCCACATGCTCACAAGGAACTGGAAAGCTTTTCCCAGCCGAGCAAGCTTGAAAACTGCTGATTTAACTTGCCAAAAATTGGGAAAAACTCGAATCCCATGCCATTTGACCTTTTTTTTCCCCCCATAGAAGCTGCATCTTGATGTCTCCTTAGGGTGAATCCTGTGCACGCTCAGGCATGGTTTGATTGTCAGCTTTGTGACTTCTGTGGTGCTCTGATATTTCATTTTATTGTGAAATGAGTCGTGAATGAGTCATTGCCACATATGACCCTGCTGCCGTGAGAAATTATCAGCTGTTGGGTTGCAAGTTCAAGTAGTAACTTCAGTTCCTATCCTGCAGTTTTCAGCTGAATTCCCCTCCTGAGTTTCCTTCAAAGTTTCTGAGCTTTTGTCTTGTCTGGATCTGCACCAGGCAGCCCTGAGGCCGGCAGACAGGGCGCCTCCAGGTCTCTTGCAGAGAATACCTCACACCTTGGTGCCCTGGCTGATATTTTGGGGAACTGACAAGACCAGGGTTCATTCCTCAGGCCTGCAGGTGGTGTTCTGTCATAGCTGCTGCTTCTGGAGCCTTTTCAGGTTTTCTGCCTGCCACTATGCAGTTCCCTTGGTTCTGCAAAACGTTTTTGTCATCTCAAACTCTTCTGCACTACGTTTTTGCTTTTTCTTTATCAATGCCTAGCATTAAGGTAGATAGCAGAGGCAAGGTTGTATTAGGAAAAGTAGCAACGTAGCGTGTCGTGTAACTGACAACAGGTACTCCATTTCCTTTTTAGCTCTTCAAACCCTTTTCTAAGGGCATTTGCACTTTTATAGCAGAGGAGGAGGAGGTGTACTGGGGGGTTGGGATTTAATGAAAAAAATGGGGAAAACAAAAAAAAAGTCCCAAAAATGCCTTTCACAAATGGCGGCCGGGACCTCCCCTCAGAGGTGGCGGGTTTCGTTCCGGCCGCTGATTGCTCGTGCCTCCGTTGTCCGCCCTTGCCGGCTGCTGATTGGCTCCCGCTGCGAGGTTCTTCTCCTCCCTGGCTGCTGTCGTTTGTGTTGCGGGACAGGGAAAAATTCGCTTTTTTTGGCCATTTTTTTGCCTTTTTTTGTCCTTTCTGCTACCTTTTTTGCGCGAGTTTTTGCAGCGCTGCACGCGGGGAAGCGCTTGGAGCTGCTTTCACGCGCTCCCTTCCTCTGCTCTGCGCCGCGATGGAGGCAGCGGGACCAGCGGGACCTCCGCGGGCACGGGATGGCGGCAGGGCCCGGAATGGCGGCAGGGGCCGGGGTCGCGGCAGGGCCGGCGGCACACGGTGAGTTCGGGTTCGGGGCAGCGTTGCTGGGGGGGGGGTTCCACATTTTTGGAAGGCTCTTCTAAGGAGCCGGTGTGGGAGGAGCCTCCTTATAGCCCCACCCACGTATAAATGTTTCCTCGGTGGATGAGGTGCGGATGCTGAGCTTGTCGCCGTCTACGGCTCTGGCCTACAACGTGCTGGGCAGTGTTTTGGGATTGGGGCTGCGATTAAGGTTGGCATTGGGATTAGAGCTGGGGTCGGGAATGAGTTTGGATGGAATTAGGGCTGCGGTTGGGGTTTGGGCCGGGCTGGGGTTTGGGCCGTGAATGGGCTCGGGCTGGGGGCTCTGCCGGCCGGCCTCGGCTCCGGCGCGGCTGGGGGGGTTGCCGGGACCGGGCCCCGGTGCGGCCGGGGAGATGCCGGGCCCGCGGCCCGGGGGGAGCCGGGAGCTGCGTTGTGGCTGCGCCCTACAAGCTGAGGGGCAGCGTTTTGGGGTTACGGCTGCGATTAAGGTTGGCATTGGATTAGGGCTGGGGTCGGGAACGGGTTTGGGATGGAATTAGGGCTGCGGTTGGGGTTGGGGCAGGGGCTGGGGTTTGGGCCGTGAACGGGCTCGGGGTGGGGGCTGCGCAGCCGGCTCGGGCCGCGGGGCCGCGGGGCGGCGGCGGCCGCGGGGCGGGCGGCGGCCGGGGCCCGAGGGCGGGCGGCGGCCGGGGCCCGAGGGCGGGCGGCGGCCGGGGCCCGAGGGCGGGCGGCGGCCGGGGCCCGAGGGCGGGCGGCGGCCGGGGCCCGAGGCGGGCGGCGCAGCCCCCACCCCGAGCCCGTTCACGGCCCAAACCCCAACCACGGCTCCAGCTTTCTCCCAGCTTCCTACCGTTCCTTTTCACCATGGCGTCACCTTCCCACATGTTTTTATTGTCATTTTTCTGTCTCTTCTGACTTTCTCCCTTCCTTCCAGGTCCTTCCTCCTCTGCAGGACCCCTTGTTGCCTGCCCCTGGCTGCTACTTTCCCAGCCACAAGCTGCCCTCAGAGGACCCGTGGAGATTTTGGCCCTTGGAGGCTACAGAGGGGAGGCTCCTGACATATGGCTGTGGCGTTGTCTGTGGAGGAGAAGCACAATGAGGACAACGATTCTGTGAGGGAGAGTAAGTGTTACGAGGCAGGGAACTCTGATGTGCCCGTTGTGCTGCCCTTGCTGGCTGCTGATTGCCACCCACCTGCGAGGTTCTTCCTTCTACCGTGGTTGCTGTCTTTGTGGAGCGGTACAGTGAAAAATTTATTTGTTTTTTTTTTGTCTTTTTTCTACCTCCCTACGCGCGTTCTCACAGCACTGCAGGCAGGTGAGCGCTTGGAGCTGTGCCCACTACTCCCTTCCTTTGCTCTGCGCTGCAGTGGGTCTGTAGCTCATGGGTCTGCCTCACCTCGTTTTAATTTTATTTATTTATTTTATTTATTTATTTTATATTTTCATTTATTATTCTTTTCATCAGGATTTGGGGTGATTTCCACCACCTGCCTCAGGCTCCGATGTCACTGTTGCGGGTTAAATCTGGGAGGTTTTGGGTCTCGTGGTGGTTTGAGCTGGAACCCCAAGTCTCAGCTGAAAGTTGCTGGTTTTAGGGTTACTAAAAGCATGTTAAATAGTTTTACTGAGCTGGTGTTGAGCTGAAATCTTTGTTTTTCCCCCAAACCCATGCTGACTTTCCACCTTAATTAAACTCCCAAAATTCAGCAGAATCCTCTTGAATACTTCTTTTACACTTCGTTTGCCACCCAGCAGCTCTCGCAAAAGAGACCTAGGGAGCATCAGGGCATGTGAGCAGGAGGTCGGGTGGTGGAGTAGCTCCCTGGTGTCCCAGAGGGAAGGGAGCCGTGGGAACGAAGAAAAGCTTCAAGGCCTTGGGATGGTTGGTGAAAGAGGCTTTTGGGCGGAGTGTGTGGCTTTTTGTTGGAGTGGCCTAGAAGTTGAAAGAGGCTTTTTGGGCGGAGTGTGTGGCTTTTTGTTGGAGTGGCCTAGAGGATCTTCCAAGGTTCCTTCCATTCCCTGACATTCCGTGGAGGTCCAAACGTCCCCCTACCACCAGCGGCACCCCCAGGGTGTGGGGAGGGCCTGGCCTCTCTCAGCCCTGCTGCCAGGGGTCTGCACGGTGCCGGGACCCCTCACTTCCCCCCCCTTCTTTTCGTTGCAGGTCTTCTTACCAAGTGCAAGGCTAGAAGAGTTGCGGCCTGGAAGCTATACGTGTTCGGCATCATCAGTCTAATAGAGTTCCTGGTTTTGATTTCCATTATCATCTGTGAGTGTTCCCAAGTGGTTTCGGGGCTCTGCCCTGCGGCCCCAGCTGCAGGCAGGGGGAAAAAAAAAAAGGGGGCTCGGTGCCTGTATCCAACCCTGCTGCTGCCCCTTCTTTGCTCCTGCAAACCCCTGGATTTCTTTGTCCTTAGGGCTCTCTCAACGTGCGTATTCCTGCCCCCATTCGTGGATCGGGTTCGAGGGGAAATGTTTCTACTTCTCCGACGGGGAAAAGAACCAGACCTTGAGCCGGGCTGACTGCCACGTGCACGGCGCCAACCTGGCCGTGATCCAGTCCAGGGAGGAGCTGGTGAGGCTGGGGCTTTTCTCCTTTTTTATTTTGGGTGGGGGGCAGAGCTCTGGGGGTGTTGGTGAGCCCCCTTTTCAACCCTGCTCCCCCTCTGCTCCCAGGAGTTCATGATGCGCTATAAAGGTTCTCACGACCACTGGATCGGGCTGAGCCGCCAGAACCCGAGGCAGCGCTGGGAATGGGACGATGGCACCGAATTTGACAGCTCATTGTGAGTCCGCCCTGCCCTGCACGTGGGTTTTTGGGGTGAGGGGGCAGAAAGCATGCAGGATGCTCACCCCACTGCCTCCCCTGCAGGTTTCCCATCGGAGGAGGCGAGGATTTTGCTTTCTTGAACAACCAAAGAGTCACCAGCGCGCGCAGCAGCGGCGAGCGGCACTGGATCTGCACCAGGCAGCCCTGAGGCCGGCAGACAGGGCGCCTCCAGGTCTCGTGCAGAGAATACCGCACACCTTGGTGCCCTGTCAGATATTTTGGGGAACTGACAAGACCAGGGTTCATTCCTCAGGCCTGCAGGTGGTGTTTTGTCACAGCTGCTGCTCCTGGAGCTTTTTCAGGTTTTCTGTCTGCTACTACGCAGTTCCCTTGCTTCTGCAAAACGTTTTTGTCATCTCAAACTCTTGTGCACTACATTTTTGCTTCGTCTTTATCAGTGCATAGCATTAAGGTAGGAGACACAAGGTTGTATTAGGAAAAGTATTAATGTAGCGTGTCGTGTTAACTGGCAAGAGATACTCCATTTCCTTTTTAACTCTTCAAACCCTTTTCTAAGGGCACTTGCACTTTTTTAGCAGAGGAGGAGGAGCATTTTAAAATACAGTGTTTTGTCAAAGAGATATCAGTATTGTGCCTAGGCAGAAACTGTCACAGGATGGGAATATCTCAGACCGCGTCCTGGAAATGGTTTGGACTGGAAGAAGGCTTCAAGATGGTCCTGTTCCAACCTCACTGCCCTGGGCTGAAGTCCCTGAGCTGCTGCAGGGGGTGGAAATCAGCTGTAACCCATCACCCCTGCTGGTGCTATCCTGAGAAATGTGAATAGCAGGTGTGTGGCTGTGGCAGGGAACAACTTCCCACATTTGCCATTCCTCCTGTACTCGAAGAAACTCTTCACGGGCTCCCAGGCTGGATGGAAGTAGCAGTTCAGTCAGGTCTCACGTTAATGTAGACTGGTGCCCGTGGAGAGAAATGGTGCCTTTCTCTTGCTTTTCTGCTCCTCTGTATCTTTGTATTATATCAACACTATTTTTCTACGTACTGTTTTAATATATGTGCAATTTCTTAATAAATATTTTTTACTAGTCTGGCTTCTGTTATTGTTTGCTCTTGCTGTTACCCTGAGATCCAGCACGAGGTGAGTTTTACCCCACTGCTTTCTGCTCCTCCATGAAAACTCTCTCATTATAAGACCAGAGCTCCATCCTGTGCCACATCTCCTGAAAATATTAAGGATTTCCTAAGAAAGCCCAGGAAACTTCACTGCAGGTCACCCAAATCTTGCTTTTAGGATAGCACCTTCGAGAAACAGATCATCTTTGCCAAAAAATAAGAAATTCTCTGCTTTTGGATCCTGGAAGAGCTCAGCAATTCTAAATGATGCTTCAGGGTGGGGTGCGGAAGGGTTTTGTGTAGGAAGCCCTCGTTCTTTGCTGACCTAAGCCAGACTTTGTGACATTAGGTGTGTGAATTCTGGAGAAAAGACTAACAGCAGGAACTGGCATCTTGGTGAAGTGGTTTCTGCTATATTTCAGGTTGGTGAATTGAATTTGTTAACCAAAAGTGCATTTTTATTGCGTGGAAGTGCCCTGCCTGGGACTGATGGAGGAAAACCGATAAGTCTTAATTTATGTGCTTAGTTAAAGGCAATGCGCCAAGCCCACCGCTGCAAAATTCTCCCAGTTTGGGTTGCAAGAGCAAGTTAAAGCTAAATTATCTGCGTTTGAGGAAAAAAGACTTAATAACAGCAGTTGGAGCGTGCGCGTAGCAGGAGAGGCAATCAGGCCGTAGGTCTCAGTGAGCAAAATAAGGAAAGAGAGAACAGAAAACCCCAGATTAAGGCTGGCTCTGTCTTTGAGAAGCAATTACGTCGGTACTCGTTACCGAACACGTCGCTCACCGGTTCTGCCAGCCCCTCATTTTGTGAAACTCTTGCAAACAGCTCAAAGGGCATCAAAAGCCCTCAAAATGCAGGATCGAGTCAAGCCATACAAGGCTAAAAGGTCGCGTTATTCACGAGGTGTTTTACGAGGAGGCTCTTCCACGGATTTGCTTCTACATCTCCAGTCCTGGAGGTGGCACTGGTGGACTTGATTTGGAGCTGGCTGCTTGCTGGGAGGAGCGAGCTCCTGAAGCTCCCGGAGTGCGTTTTCTCGTGCTGTTGTTTTCCAAAGGGAACCAAAAATAAGAGCGCTGCTACAAACCCTACGATCCTCACCGTCACACCTTCACCAACCGTCTCCGAGCTGAGGTGCTCCTCAAAAAAACGTCTTCCCAGGATGGAGTTAGCCGTGCAAATGTCCCGTGTTTCACCTGCATACCCTAAAAGCAAAAAGATCCCCAAAGATTCCCAAAGCAAAAAGATCCCCAAAGCAAAAAGATTCCCAAAGCAAAAGATTCCAGGAAATCCTTGGAAGTCCATCCTTGCACCGTTTCCACGTGCTCACAAGGAACTGGAAAGCTTTTCCCAGCCGAGCAAGCTTGAAAACTGCTGATTTAACTTGCCAAAAATTGGGAAAAACTCGAATCCCATGCCATTTGACCTTTTTTTTTTCCCCCCATAGAAGCTGCATCTTGATGTCTCCTTAGGGTGAATCCTCTGCATGCTCAGGCATGGTTTGATTGGCAGCTTTATGACTTCTGTGGTGCTCTGATATTTCATTTTATTGTGAAATGAGTCGTGAATGAGTCATTGCCACGTATGACCCTGCTGCCGTGAGAAATTATCAGCTGTTGGGTTGCACTTCAAGTAGTAACTTCAGTTCCTATTCAGCATTTCCAGCTAAATTCCCCTCCTGAGCTTCTTTCAAAGTTTCTGAGCTTCCCCTTTTTCGTTTCCCCTGTTTGCTTTGGGTATTTAGGAACTGATGCAAAGATTTCGAGCTCGTCTTGTTTTGTTGCCTTTTTCTGGGCTGTTCAGCGCGGGCTTGGTGCAAACCCAGTTTCTCTCTGTGCTGCACTGGGAGGAGTGGAGCCCGGTGTCGCCCAGGTAGGCACAGAAGCCACCTCCTTGGACCTGAAACCTGAAGGACAGAAGAAACAAGTGGCCTCAAAGAGGAAAAGGAAAAAAATCGCACCGATGATCTCAAAGGAGAACAAAAAATGATCAAAAGTAGGAATCTAACAGCATTTTGCCCTTGCTTCCACCTCTCAGCTTGAAAAGCAAAGAACGGCTCTGGAAGCAACGTGGCCCTCTCTGGGTCTCATCGCCCCACCTCCACCTCTGGAGCTGGTCCCAAATCCCAGACGAAATGCAAGTTTTGGGGCTGGAAAACCAGCAGCCAGCACGAGAATGATGAAAACCCCGCAGACTCACAGGGGGGACGGCCGTGAGTGGTTCACCCATTTCCATGGTTGCTCCTCCCCGTCCCGTGAAAGGCCAACCCAATGCTCCGAGATGCCTTTATACCTCATTGTAAAACTCTGAAAAACAAAAAAAAGGCTTTAGGGCAGCTCTCAGGGTTTCGGGACATGCCCAGCAAGTCATCTGCAGAAACCTCCCTCCAACCAATAATCTACATTTTATGAGTCACCTGCGCTCTTTTGGTGCTTAAATTATTCAGTCTGTTACCAAAACCCGTCATCTTTGAGGCAGAGACCTACTTCATTGTTGTCTCGTTTTTTTTTTTTTTCTTTCTTTTTTTTTTTTTTTTCTTTTTTCCCCTTTTTCCTACAGGTCTTGCACTGGTTGGCTTTGGTGAGAAGCTTGAGGAGAAGACCCAGGACTGGGAAGAAGACACTGAAATAGCAGGCAAGGAAACCGAAAGGTGGCAAAAACCTCGATGGCTTTTCTGGGGGGTCTCCATACCAAGTCTTCCACGCTGTCGAACATGGCCAGGGAAGCACCGAGAGCTGAGCAGTTGTCCTGGCTGGACGTCCAGTTCCTCTCAGCCTCCGAAAAATAGTAGCATTTTCCTCTATACCCGATCCAGTCGAACGGACACCGAGCACAGGGCTGGGGGCGAGGTTGGAAAGCGTTCACTGTCATCGATAGAGCAAAGGGGGACAAGAAATGTGGGAGGCTGGACCTTCAAAGCAGAAAACAGGCCACCAACGACGCGGGTTTGGGGAGGATTTACAAAAAGTCCTATGCCTAAACGTGCCCTAAGGTACTATTCAACGTTAATACTAAAGCAGCGGCGGAAAAATGAAAGCGAAAGCATTTCTCTTGTTTCTGCGGCCTTCTTGGCTTGGCTAGACTTGTGTCAACATCTCTTGCTGCTTAGCCAGACAGCAGCCCCTTCTTTGCCAAAAAAAGCCCCATGTGGGTAAAGTCTGATGATTTTTCTTTTTTCTTTTTTTTTTAAAAGAACGATGCCACAGAGGAGATGGGTTTGGCTTTCTGGAGAAGGCTTTTTGCGCTCATCAAACTGGCCCTCACCTGGAGAGGACGCCTCCTGGCCTTGATTTTGTCTTTGTCAGGAGCACGGGGCTGGACTTGGCCCAAGTGCAATGACCCAAAGAGTCTTTGGAGGGCACAGAGACGTTGTCTCCATGGTGAGCACTTCGACACTCACCTGCGAAAGCGATGGCGGTGACGAGCAGAACCAGGAACGCCACTGCCATGGTGACCCGGCAGGCAACGCGTGCCCCTGGCTTCATCTCCAGGCTGGAACCTGCAGGAGAAGAGACCTTCAGCACCTTCCTGGGAGCACCAAGGGCAAGAGCACACTGCAGGTCCAGGGAATTGAGCCCAAAAACGTGCTTTTTTTGCCTCCTTTTGCTCCAGGAGGAAGAGGAAGGGGTCAGTCTCTCCCCTACACTGGTTGTACTCACTATCATTTGGGGTGAGAAACAGCCAGAAGTTTTGAATTCTTCCCCATGAGGAATAAAATGATGGTTTTTTCCTTCTTGGATACGCTTCCTTAGAAGGGGAACTTTGCCTTTTCCCCAGCTCCAGCTGCAAACCTCTGCTCTGAAATGCCTGTGGGCATTGCACCATACCCACAAGCGATTTCGTTTGAATTTCTTGGTTCTGTGTCATCATTACAGCTCGAGGCACTTCTTTCACAACCCAAACCGAGATGCTTCGGGTCTTGCAATGCCTCGAGTCATGCTCAGCCTATGACTGGGTCTTCTGATCTAGAGCACGCTCTTATCTTAACCTCATCTCAAAGAAACATCTGTTTTCTATGAAGTTTGCCTTCCCTTCCTCCTCCTTGCACATCATCACATGAACCACATGTCATGCCACAAGCCCTCCTTCCCTCTCTTTTCCCTGCCCCATGCACCAGAACAGGAATCATTTCAGCCGATAATTCCGACAGCAAATATGACAACAGAAAAAGCATGGCTCAACATCAATTGGGACATCTAGAAAGGCCCCAAATCCCCTTTCCCACCTGCTTTGGTCTACCAAGAGGATGGTGGGGATGGGAGGAAGAGTCAGGTGAACCAAAATAAGGCAGCGTTGAAGAAAGGAAGGCAAAGGTTAAATAGTATTATGCTAATTTATCTAATTCCACGCTCTTTTTTTTTTTGGTGTTTTCATCCTTCTTCTCTACCAACATCTCTACCAACATCTCTTTATTCTTAAATTGAGAACCAGGGGGTGAAGACACAAAAGAAACACTGACTCACGCAAAAAAAACACTGACTTTTTAGCAAAATTCCACCTCGTGCTTGCTGAGCTAAAAAAATTTTCCCTCGAGGGAAGTGCTAGAAAACTGAAGACTCAGTATTTCTTACCACCCCCTTACATCAGCTTGATTTCGTTCTCAGATTATAGAAGGCAGAAGAAAGCCTTGTTCGGGCAAGTGCTCTGCAGTTACCTCCCCGCTGGCTTCTTTCCGTGCCCAAAAAGCCAGGATATTCCCTCATTTCCTTCATCTCGGGGGATGCAGGTGGGGGATGCAGATGGGGGACCTGAAAACCAGAAGATTTCACCCATCAGAAGCTGTGACCCACCCAGGGACGCGTTTTTGGGGGGCTCTCTCCATCTGATTCTCAAATCGTGGTCGTCTTCGAGGTCCATCCAAGCTCAAGCCAAACTCATTGCAACCATTCAAAGAAAAATGTGATTTCCTCAGTACCTTTACACCTCAGCCTTCCTGGGGATGGGTGAAGGCTTTGCCAAAGAAAGAATTTTGTTCCATTCAGCACCAAAATCAATTCCCCGCCCACCCACTGCCAACCAGCAGTCGGGCACCATCAGAGCAGCAATCCTGGATTTTTCCCCCTGCAATTGATTCTCCCCCACTTGATTTTGCCCCCCTTGAACTTGATTTCCCCTCCTTTACAACTGTTTTTTTTTTTTTTTTTTTTCACTACAATTCATTTTTTCCACCCTGCAACTCATTTTTTTCCCCTTGCAACTCATTCTCCCCCCACTTCCAAGCCCGAACCACCCCCAGCCCCAGTACCTGTGTCCTGCCGGTGTGGGAGCACTGGACTCTCCTGCTGGGTGAAGTGCGAAGCCTTGTGTCAAATAAAACTTTTTTTTTTTTCTTTTTTTTCTGGGGGATTTTCCAGAGGATCCAGCTGGGGAAGGAGCCGTGCAGCTGGTGGGGAGATGCCCATGAGCAGGAAGCAGCTGCTCCCCTGGCCCCCCCTCCAGCTCTGCTCTCACCACCTTCACTCCATGGGGGTTGCTATAAATATATATGTATATATTTTTATATATAGTATTTATTTATATATAGTATATATTTATATATATATAATATATATAATATATATAGTATATATACTATATATACTATATATATTATATTATATTATATTATATTATTATATTATATTATATTATATTATATTATATTATATTATTATATATATATTTTTATAGTATTTTAATCATAGAATTACTATATATACTTAATTTATAGAATTTAATATATATGTAGTTTTATATATACATGTATATGTAGTAATTTATATAATGTAGTATTTTTCTCTATATATACTATTTCTCCCTATATAATATGTAGTATTCTATATATATAGTATTTATATATACACATAGCATTTATATAAATACATAGAATTTTTCTCTCTATATATGTAGTTTCTATATATACTATTTTAATCTGAGAATTAATATATGTATTCAATTCATAGAATTTAATATATATAGGTAGTGTTTTTATATGTATATGTAGTATTATTTTTCTATATGCAGTATTTTTCTATATATACATGTAGTATTTCTATATACACGTATATACAAACATACATATATAGTAATATAGTATATATGCATACTAGGGGTAATTAATAGGATTTTTTAGGTAAATTGCAGGAAACTTGCATATTTCCTAGTAGTAACTTGTAGGAAATACATGTGCACTCAATATGTATGCACCATATACATATTATACATATGTAGTATACATGTATAATATATACATGTAGTGCATATATATACACACTGCATACATACTATATGCATACTACATAGATGTAGTAACATATAGAAATGTATGAAATAAATACAGTATAAGCAGTATATATGCAGGGTGTATATACTGCATACTATATATTCTCTCTATGTTGTATGTATGCGGTATGTTTTATATATGTGTATGCTTATATTTATATAAATATATATTATATAAATACATATATTATAAATTATATACATGTAAAATATGATATATATAATGCAAATTATATATATCATATAAAATATATATATAAGCATAGCCATATGATATATTTATAAGAATAAACACATATATTCGTATCTATGTATTTATATATTTATATATATTTATTTACATATTTATATATATTTATTTACTTTTAAATATTTATATACTTACATATAATTTTATCTTACATATTCATATTTATTTGCAAAATATGCATGCAGTTTGGATAGAGGTACTGCCTGTATAGATAATGTATGAGCCCTAGGAGTGGCTTGGGGTGTTGTCCTTGGACCGTTGCTGGTTTCTATTTTCCCTCAAACTCTCTCACAAGCTGACTTGTTCCAACAAAGCCTGCTCGGGCTGTGCCCTCTCTCCTTAATGCCTCTGATCATATGCAAATATATGCAAAATCCCAAAGAATGGGATTGCCATGCAAATGCGCGCAAGGGAAGAACTGCAAAGAAAAAGGTGAAATTAAGCTGTCAAAAAGAGGTGGATTTGTGATTAAGCTATTCCCCCCAAAGGTGTTGCCATTAAGCAATCGGAAAATGGGTGCTTCGGAAACTAAACTATTCAAAAAAAGGTGTTTCTCCAATCAAGCAATCAAAAAGGAGGTTCTTGCAATCAAGCTATCCAAAATAAGTCTTGCAATTCAGTTACATGTATGCAGGTATTTAAACCAAAAACCAAAAAACACACTTTTAAAAAATTATTTTATTTTTATTTTTAAACTTTTTTTTGTTTTGTTTTGCAAGCTATGGTCAAGATTGACTCAGGGCCATTGTGCAGCCTTTGATGTTGTGTTTTTTTTAGCACTGCAGGAAGAGAAATGCAGAAGTAGGGCCGTGGGCCAGCCTGTGCTCACCGCAGAAAATTTCCATGAGGTCAATGAGAGCTGAAGGCAGAGCAACAACGAACAGCAAAATGGGCTGGTGGTGCTTTTTCCCCAGTCCTAGGAAGTGCCAGCTGCTCCATGTAGTGGAGGCTAAGTCAAGTTGGCATGAGAAAATTAAATTAAACATCAAGATTTAAATTTGCTGCAGAAAATAAGCAAGGAAAAAAAAACCCTCTTTGCCTCTTCTGGTGCAAAAGTTACAGGATAAATTATGTGACATGGAAGAAAAAGCAACAAATTATGATCAAAACCATCCCCTTCCAGCTTTTGGGTTACACGCAACCGATGCCCAAGCCATATTCCAGGGAAGACACACCAAATACCACCTTTCTCCTCCTTCCCCAACTATCTGCTGCTACACGTTGGCCTGCCCCCATTAAAAATAAATAAATAAATAAATAAATAAATATCGAAGGGCTTTTATTTTGTCTTTTGTCACCGCTCTGCCCTCTTGGCAGCTCAGTACCACAGTGCTTTAAAGCCAAAAGGTGTTTCTGCACCTCCAGAGGTGCGACCTCCTCCTGCCAGACTTCGATTGAAGGGAAAAGGCTGTAGGATATGTCTAGATAGCTACCTATCTATCTATAAAAAAAAAAAAAAAAAAAAAAAAGACTAAAAAAAGCCATTTCCTGGCGCTGGACGCAGGCGCAAGAAGGTTGGTCATTACGAAAACGTTGCCCAGGGACTTTGTCGCCCCTGGGACGCTTCTGCAGGCGGGCGAGCTGACCATGGCTGGGGAGATTATTTACGCTGATTTAAGGCAACCCGGAGGGGGCTCTTCACCTGCTGAGAGGTGTCAGAGTAAGTGTGATTTTGGGTGGTGGGTGCTCACGGCGAGCTCCAGGAAGAGCTGGCGTTTGGGTCCGCTTGCGTCTTGGCCAAGAAAAACGGCCAAGCACCAGTTGGGTTGCGGGGTTGATCCCAGTTTGTGCAGGCGAAGAAAGGAAGGAAGAAAAGAAGGAAGGACAGGGGAGAAGGAAGCTTGCAAAAAGCCAGAGCTTGAACAATTTCACTGCTGGGGCTGCTCTCCCTGCAGCAAAAACCAGCCCCAACGCAAGCCGTTGGAAGTCAAAGCTTGGCAAAATGTGCCCAGGACCCTGGTGGAGAGGAGCTGTGGAGGGACCCTGAGTCCCACCAGCAGCCACCTGTTCTAAATGAGGCCAATTTCCCAAGAGTTTGGGTCTTTCCCCCCTGCTCTTGAGGACCCCCACCGCCTCCCAGAGCACTTGGAGGTGACGGCCTTGCTTCTGAGCCCAACCTCAGCACCAGCAAAGCCTGCCACCGGGACTCCTTCCCCACTGGGACCCACTGGTGCAACTGGGAAGCCGCAGCCCAGCCGCTCCCCATCCCCTCCAAGCTCCTGGAGGCTTTGCTCCAGCCAAAGCTGCACCACGGCGAGCAGCGGGACCCATGCGAGGAGGGTTCTGGGGTGGGAAATGCAAAGAGAAGGTTGCGATAATTGGTTTTTCACTTGTTTTTTTTTGTTTTTGTGGAGGTAGCAAAGCGTCTGTCGAGTTCTGCTCAGAGGGGCTCTATTTTGTTTTATTTTGTTATGATATGATGTGATATGATATTAATTTTTTTTTTTATTTATTTCATTTCATTTCATTTCATTGTATTTTAATTTTATTTTACAAGAAAGCACTTTCTGAACAATACCATGGGCTCTTTCAGCTCCCGCCGTGTGCCCACGGTGGCACGGAGTCCTTCTGAAGCTGAGCGGGCTGGGCTGCCTGGTGCTGCTGGTGCTGGTGGTGCTGGTGGCGGTGCTCAGTGTGCAGGGTGAGTAAAACCCACTTGAAAACAAGTCAAAAACCCAAGCGAGCACAAGGGAAATTGCACTTTTTATTTATTTTTTTTATTATTTTTTATTTTTCTCACAAAGGGGAGGTCAGGGTTTTATCCCAGGAACTGGGACAGTGATACTGTTTGGGTGGGGACGATTTTGCCCCATGTGGACACGAGTAAATCCCCTCTCAAAACAAACACACAAACACAAAACCAAAAAAAAAATAAAAATAAGGCAACAACAACCAAAAAAAGGGCAACATTTCTACGCTATTGCAAAAGTTGTGTTATAACGAGAAAAGGCACTTGCACAATAGCTCGGGGAACCCAACTCAGCCCTGCTCGGTTTTCACAATGTTGCCCCCAAACAGCCTCAATCTCACCCCAAAATTTTATCTCTAAGTTTTTCAGAAGGCGCCGACACCTCCCAACGCTCTGCAGAACAAGTGCGAGGCCGGGGGAAGGAACAGGACAGAGGAGTGCACGATTTCCTCCCTGCAGCGCTACTTCTGCCGCTGGAACGGCTCCGCAGGTAACCCCTTCCCCGGGGGTGTCCCTGGGGTGGGATGGGTGCCCCCGGGGGGCTGCAAGCCCAGCTCGGTGTCGATGAGCATGGTGAGGAAGAGCTCGTTTTGCTGATCATCTCCATCCTCTGTGGGCCTCTGGGAGGAGGAGGCACCTCTCCACCTTCACCGTGTTCACCCCACCGTGTCCTCCTTGTGGTGGATGGGTGGGAAAAGCAGCCAGGAAAAATTTGGGAGGGGAGAGAGCTCCCTCCCCAGTGTCACTTGACTGGTTTGAGTGAGACCTCGAGCACTTGTTGGGGTGTCTCACGGCTCCGTCTCCTCTCCAGGCCACGGGGACTGCAAGCTGTGCCCCCAGTCTTGGCAGCTTTTGGGGGACCAGTGCTACCAGTTTTCCAAATCAACTGGGAATTGGATGGAAGGCAAAAAAGACTGCGAAAGTCGGGGGTCCCATCTGGCCGTGTTCCGAAACACCACCGATATGGTAAGTGCAGAGTGTAAAAGGCTTGAAAAGGACCCAAAAGTCCTGGGTTTTGGTGGGTAGAGGGGCAAAAACTGCCTTGGAGCTGCTGGTTGGTGGCAGGAGGCTTGGTAGCTCCAAGCCACTTCGTACTAAGGAGGGAACAGGGCTGAATCACCACCAAAAGGGCTTTGGAGGCCTCTTCCCACCTTTGGCATGGGAAGAAGGAGGGACACAGAGCTCAGGGGGAGCCTTCGGTGTCTCAGGCTCTGAATTTAAGCTCTTTCCACCCACTGAGTGAGGCAGCACCCAAGGCATGGGTGGTGTTTAGGGCCCGTCTCTTTGAGGATGAACCAAATGGGTTCAAAAAGCCAGCTTTGCACCCCAACGAGCCTCTTGCTGAAGGCCTTTGGAAGCCACCACTCCTCTCCCATTTCCCAGGAACACTTAAATGAGGGGATCCAGCAGGACAGCAAGGAGAAGCTAACGGTGTGGATCGGATTAAAGGCATCCAACAACATATGGAAATGGGTGGACAACTCCTCCTTCGATGCCACCATGTGAGTACAGCTGCAACCCGTGGTGTGCAGAGCAGCTTTGCTCCACTTCTGCCCCAATATCTTCAATATTTGGTATCTGCGACAGCTTTTTAATCCCCCCGAATGGCTTTACAGCCCAATAGTTGGCTGTACAAAGCACTATAACCCAACATCTAATCACGCCTACGCAGCCAACGTGGTTTTAATGCCCTGGGCATGCTCCAGTGGAGGAAGGAGCCAGATGGTAGTGCAAGCACAGCAATCTGCACGCGCATCTGGGCAAGCCCGCAGCAAGAAGCCTCCTGGAGCCCAGTGAGACAGGCTGGGGGAGAAGCTCCCGTTGCCCCCTCTCCCAAGAGCAAAAGGAGCTGCTTTTGGGTGCTGATGGTTTTGGTTTGCAGGTTTGGTTCCCTTCAGAGTGTGGAGAACGGCTGTGTGACCTTCAGAGACAAGAAGCTGGAGATCGATGGCTGTGGGAGCCACCAGAACTGGGTTTGCCAGACAGAACCCTTCCATCTCCTTTCAAAGACTGCAGGAGACAGAGAGCTGTATGGTGCCCACCCCGAAAAGACCAGCCTGCAGGATGCTTGCTGCTAATATTTGGGGTGAAGCCAACCCTCCTTGTTACAGCTCTGTGAGGAATTTCAGGGTTTGAACCCAACCAAGCCCAGCTGAGACTATCAGTGTATGGACTGGTGAAATTAGCATGTGGCTTTTTTTTTTTTTTATTAAAAAAAGCATACCTATATGTACATACAGACTGTATTTGTTCCATTCTTGCTTTGTCCTCCTTCCAACAGGAAATGTATAGTAAAAAAAATAGCATAATTCCATAGCACATCAGATTTGTAGGTTACAGATCTAGTATTACAAACATACAGGTTTACAAAAATTCATGCCATGTGACTAAGAGCACAGATAAAACACTTCTTAGACCCAAATAGGCTTGCTGCAGTGACTGCTTCCCTCGGGAGCCTGAGTAGAAAAAATAAAACACTGTTTTCTGCTGTAGAAGCAGAGAAAGAAAAGGAATGTCGCTTACTTCAGTACAAAAGATTGACAGAGTCTGCACAAATCTGAGCAGAAAGGAAACTCCGCACTACTGTTGTGGCAAAGAAGCAGACCTAAATAAGAATTACCATTTTTTCTGTCACTATCATGAGTTTTATGTTTATGGCATCTTTTACTAAGGGTAAATCTTTTGCCTCCAGAGGACGTAGTTGTTGGGCCTGCTGCAGATCCAGTATTTCTCCGTGTTGCAGAGGGCTGAGCTGATCTTCTCCTGGTTTATGTACGCACAAGGGCCACCTCCCCGCACCTCAAACCTGCAATGCAGACACACCCAGGAGTGAGCAGAAAAGAAAGTAGGAAAACTACCCTAAAAAGGGGAAGAAAAGTTGGGGTTTCCTCTCCTGGGAAGGTCAGAAGGGGCATTGTTCAAGGTTTAATAGGGGTTCAGAGCGCAGCATCCTTGGTCCGCACCAAACCTCCTGTGGAAAACCAGCAGTGCGGTGGCAGGAGAAGGTCCCAGTCCCAAAAGAGGCCATCCCAGACCCTATAAGAACTCCTGCCCAATTGCCAACCCAAAGCACCCAACCCCAACAGGCGGAGGGACTGACCAGTTGTTGAAGGCTGCGCCGTTGGTCCACCTCCACTGGCTGTTGCCTTCGTCGTGCAGCCCGAACCAGTGGTTTGCTTGTCCCTTGTAGCGCTTGATGAAATCCTTTATCGAAAAAAGAAAAAAAAAAATAAAGGGTTTAGGTGATCCTGTCTTCCTAAAATACAACTCAGCCAGCAATAGGAACCCTGCAATAGGAAGGTGATTTGATTTGAGAGATGTGAATATTCTTCAGTTTCACAGAAAAGGAAGCCCCTTGAGGGCAAAGATCAGGACAGCACCCATCTGGACAGTAGGGAGAGAGTTTTTGAGAAAATAATGTAAATTGCTCACTCCCCAGCCCTGGCTGTTGCTTTCCCCAGGGCATCTTCTTCTGGCTTTGGCAGTGGGTGAAATTTGGGGGAAAATTGGATTTTGTTCTAGTCCCACACATTTTCCACGCCAGAGCCTGTGTTGGGGCCCAGTTCTCACCAGTTCCTCCTGGCTGTCTATGGAGGTCAGGGAGGCTTCCATGGCCTTGCACTTCTCCAAGCTGGTTTTCCAGTTGCTTTCATCTCTAGAGAAATAGTAGCACTTGCTTTGGAAGCCGATCACATTGGGTGGACACACGTGGGAGAATTGGGATGTGATGAGTGAGACTGCAGCTGCACAACTGTAAAAGGAGAAAACCAAGCAGGTGAGATGCATGGACAGCCACCAAAAAAAAAAAAAAAAAGGCAAAAAAATAACATTTCTTTAATTATATGTGTTCCCCTCCAGCAAGCGTAGGGGGGTTGGGATGCGCCAAAATGGGGCACCCGCTTGGAAAGGCTGAGTAGAGCCTGGTTGAGGGGACAAAAGGGGGTGCCCCATGAAGCAGGCTCAGTGCTATGGTTCGGGGCCTTTCATCCTGCTGGGAAAACCCTGAAATCCCCCACACCATCCCTGAAAAAGTTCCTGGCCCATCTCCCTGCCGTGGGGATGCTCCAGTGGTACTCACCAACCAAGGCCACCAGCAGAGCGAGGACAATGACACTCAGCACCACACACAGCGGAGCCAGGAGCTGTTGTACACGACGACATTTCTTTTCCATCCCATGGGGGCTGGAGTCTGGTGTAGAAGAGAGCAGGAGATGTGGGCTGGGTCTTTCCACCCCCCATTTGCCCTTTTTCTGCTGGATCCATGGTTGATCCTATAACCCTCCCCCTTGGGATAGGAGTTCCCTTCTTTGAGGTCTTCCAGGTGATTAAGAGGTGGTAGCATGGTAAAATTCAGAGTCTGTCCTCACCCACCAAAACACCCTGGCTGGTGCCCATCCCACCAGTGCCCCACTGGAGCCAGATCTCGCTTTCCCCCAGCATTACCCCATTTGCATTGTTTTTCCTCATCTCTTGGAGGGTTCAGTACTTCTTCTTGGTCGGGGTGATTTTTTTCTTGGGCTCCTTTCCCCATGGCTGGCAAGGAAATGTCGGGTCTCACTGATCACATCCACACATCCAGTCCTCTCACAGCAACTGGCTGACCATGCTGCGATAGCAAGGAGAGGGTTGAGTGTTGGGGGGCCAGCAAAGCCCCCCGGGTCTGAGGACTTGTGGGGATCTGGAGGGGACATGGGGAAACCGTGGTTGGGGAGAGGGCTTGTGGTCTGCTGGAGGGGAATGGAGGAAGGGTGAAAGGATGGGAGAAAGGAAGAAAGAAAAGATGAAGAAAGAAAGAGAAGGGAAAGAAAAGGAGAAAAAGAAAGAGAAGGAGAAAAGAGAAAGAAGTTTAAACTGACTTTAAATGCTAAAAAAAATTAAAGGAAATGCACTGCCTATCAGGGTTCAAAGCTCAAAGGGACTTGAGCTGTTTGTGACATGAACACCCTCCCCCATCTGGCTTCAGCCTCAGCAAGCAAGCAGGAAGCTGAATTTGAAAAAAAACAGAGGAGGTAATAAGCCACCATCTGTTTGTGCTGATATTCTTGGTTTGCAGCCACCCCTTATCTCAGTTTCCCATCCAACAATAACAGGTGTGCTGTTTGCTGTCCAAACAGAGCAGCTCTTGCACCACAGATCTTGTCTTCCCAACTGTTGTTGGGAAATAACTAACAAGAAAAGACTTTATTTCCAAAACAGCCTTCATCCACATTGCAAAGTTTTAGGAATAAGCTCCTAAGGAGGAGAAAGGTTTTGGTTTTGAGTGAATGCAGCAGCACGCAAGGAAAAATTGCATGAGAAACTTTCAGTGCTAGGGGTCGTGCTGGGAAATAGTGTGTTCAAAGAAGTTTTAGGATTGAATTTGGCAGCGGATCATAAAAATTTGTAATCAGCGTGGGATGCAGGTACCCCAAACTCTGTAGTACAAAGCCTGGCTCAGCTTCAAATTTGGCTTGCATGAGCTAAAACTACCCTAACCCAACTGAGACTTCTCTGAAGACCAAATGTCAGTTTCTGATACCAGTAAGGGAACTGCTAGCGTTTAATGCTTTGTTTCTTCATTTCAAGAGAAGAGCTTCTCTTCTTCTTTTGGTTAAGCTTCCATTTTTTAACAATTGTAAAATTAACCAAAATTCCCTTGAAAAAAGCACACACGTTGGTAGGTTTTGCAGCCTGCAGACTCAAAGGAGCCTGAGCTTGTAGCCAGGTTTTATTTCTTTCCCCCCCCAGTCTGCTTTTTTACTGCAGCTCCCTCCAGATTATTAATTCTACTGATCAGTATTATTTTTTGCTTCATTTCATCTTTATTTTTCTTTTCATTCCCTCCCAGGGCACAAAGAAAGCACCCAGATGCTTTAGCTAGAAGAGAAACTCGGAAAGCTCTCCCAAAGTAACAAACAGGCAAAAATATCCAGCAAAAACAGATGGAAATGTTTAAAACCAGAAAACAAAACAAAACAAAAAAAATCCCCTAGTAGTTCTAAATATCTGCAAGAAGATTCAAACAGCCCTTGAGGCAGCAGAAGCTTCACTAAAGCCAGCTGAAAAGGAAAAATTTGGCAATGTGTGTTTTTTTTTGTCTTTTCCCAGAAAATATGAGTGGCAGGCAAGCTCACTGGGTGCGCAGTTTTGGAATTAAAAAAGGGAGAGAACATGAGGAGAATGAGAAAAAAACAAACAAACAAACAAAAAAAAAACAGCACAAATGCAAAAAGAAGGGCGAAAATGAGACAAAGAGGGTGGAAAAATGGGAGAGGACAAAGGAATAAAAAATATTTAAAAAATAAAAAGAAAGAAAGAAGATGGAGACCCGCCCTGGCTGGCTGCTCCTTCCCTCCCCATCTCAGCCCCAAGCCGAGCGTTCCTTGCTCAGCTGGCCGCACATTTTTCTGTTCAGACGTGGACTTACCCCAGCAGCACTCTGCCTAGTCCTGGAGTCTTATGTAAGTCATCGTGTTTGTGCGCAGTAACAGTGTGGAGGTGGAGCACTCAGCCTGATGAAAAC